GCGTCTTCGTTCGGACCCTAAAGTAACACACACACACCTTTTTTAATTCTTCCCTCTTTCTACCCTCCATCTCTCTCCTCGAGCCTTCCCTGTTTCCCTTTGGTTTCTTTCACTCCCATAATACTCAACCTATTTGATGAACTCTCAGGTGGCCTACACACACACACACCACACACACACAACACACTTTTTCTCCTGCAACCTTCCTTGCCCTGCATCCATTACATGAGCACACATGCCGCAGACGCTTGGGTGTGAATCACGCACTCTCTCTCTCTCCTTATCACTGACTCTTTGATGCACCCTCACACACATTGCCCTAGTCAGCCGTAGTGGTGTGTGTGTGTGTGTGGTGTGTGGTGTGTGTGTGTGTGTGTGTGTGTGTTGTGTGTGTGTGGTGTGTGTGGTGTGTTGTGTGTGTGTGTGTGTGTGTGTGTGTGTGTGTGTTGTGTGTGTGTGTGTGTGGGTGGTGTGTGTGTGTGTGGGTGTGTGTGTTGTGTGTGTGGTCTTGTGTGTGTGTTGGTCTTGTGTGGTGGGTGGTCTTGTGTGTGGTGCGTCTCGTGGTGCTTGGAGGTACTGTAATGAATCTGCATTAAGAGTTTAAGGAGCTGAAAGCGTCCGACACTGGCCTCGCTGGAGGGTCAGGGAGATGTTACACAAACTGCATATACACACACACACACAACACACACACACACACAACACATGCACACATAATTCGCAAACACACATATACAGAAAGAAGAGAATATGAGAGAAAGAAAGATCAGGGGATCAAGGTTGTCTCTTATCGTGCGCTTTTCCTAAATGATCCATGTTTTGAGCAGCAAGGAGGGAGGAGGCCCCTGGCTCGACACTCTGCTAGTGTGTGTGTGAAGTGTATGTGTGTGTGTGTGGTGTGTGTGTGTGTTGTGATGTGTGTGTGTGTGTGTGTGTGTGTGTGTGTGTGTGTGTGTGTGTGTGTGTGTGTGTGTGTGTGTGTGTGTGTGTGTGTGTGTGTGTGTGTGTGTGGTGTGGTGTGTGTGTGTGTGTGTGGTGTGTGTGTGTGTGTGTCCCCTCGCTTTTCATAACCCAGTACCTATTCAGTCTGCCAAAACACTAACAAAACGCTGCACGTGCCATCTCGTTCTTCTCCTTCCTCTACTCAATCCTGCTCTCTGTCTTGCTGCTGCTGATGCCTGAAAGCAGAGATGAGTGGAGGCCGTGGCAGCATCCATCCTTGTTCTTCTTCGTTGGCCCGCCTACCCGCCGTCTGGGTCAGGTTGAGGTTGTCAGCCTGCTGGGCAAATACGTGTGGAGATGTCATAAACAGACCTTGTAGGAAGAACAAGCAGTTTTGAACCCGTTTTCAGAGCGTTTAGTCGATGCTGGCGTATCATCTCTGGGGGCTCCCTCGGAGAAACAAGCAGCACTTTTGAATACTTGACATTCATTTCCTGTGGAGGCGTTGGGCCTGGGCGGTGCCCGGATTTTAAAAACAGGGGCGTGCGTGAGTGAAGCGTATAACGCTTGATTTCTTGCTGTTTCCCTCTCGCTGTTGAAAATAATTGACTGCTGTGATCCTAACAAGCGGTGGAATCACACTTGTTCTGGGCCACCGATGTGATCAAACACACACTCACAAATACTTGATTTTACACATGAGCAGGAATGTGACGCTCCTTGAGACACGTGTCCGATGAATGCATGTGCAAGATCACACCATCTTTCCTTCAGCTGTCAGCTCCAATACCTCCCTTTCCTTTCACTAACCCTCTCTGTCCTTTTTGATATGTATGTGTTATCACAGTATTACTGATTCATGTTTTAATTCTGCTCTGTGAAGGTCCAACAGCTGCATAAATAACGATGTGCCTACTTTTGCCCCCACCAGCTCTTACACTCAAAACATATTTTTTGAATTGTGAGCAAGAACAGACAAAGATTACCTGGACCAAACATTTATTTTCTTTCTGTGTGTCTGCACCCAGGCACTCCATCAATCACCTGCTTTTGTCCTTGTCAGAAAGTACTCACTGGTGCCACGGTGCACAGACACATGCTTAGTGCTTCACTTTGAGTTAAGATGTATATGAAGGCTGCGAGTGTGACTAACAGTTCATATATTTTTTTTTTATCCACACATTTTATTAAATACTGAAAAAGTTATGACCACAATTTAAAAAGAATAGGAAAAACAAACTGAAATAATTTAAAATGCTGGAACCTGAACATATTCAGCATTACTGCTAGATGAATAATTCATCAGTGAGAAAAATTGCCAATTAGATTTTTCTGTCAGCTGACTAATTGCTTAATTGCTTATTTGTTTCAACACTCACCTACACCTCTTTTATGTTATTCCTGCTTTTCTTGTCGTCCCCTTCATTTATAGTTGGTGGTGTTGCCCTTAATATTCCTTACCACTGCCGTCATTTTATACTGTGAATTTAGCTTGCCTTTTTGTTTTTCAAATATTTTAATCTCTTTTCTCATCCTGGGGTGTTTTGATTAAAAAGTATAAAAACACTCAAAGTCTCCCTCGTTCAAAATGCATTGTGATCTTGACAGGCGCTTGGCTGGAGTGGGTTTTTAGAGGCTGAAATACTTTTTGATTCACCCTCCTCATTTCTCCACCTTTTTCTCACCCATTCTGACCGGTCGGTGATCTGTGCAGTGGGGGGTGATGAAAGGTGATCAACCGAGCTGGATGGAGGATATTGACTTCAGTTTTCTCCTGTCTCGCTCCCTGTACCTTCTCCCACGCTGCCGTTTTAAAGTGCTTTCTTTCTCTCACTTTTAAATATTTTTTTTCCACCTACAACTCCTGCTTTCATTTTTCATCTATCTCTCCCTTTATCTCCGTTCCCTTGACTGCACTTCTCTTCCCTTTTGTCTCCATATTCCCTTTTTATATTCCCTTACACTCCACCCACGCTCACTATTTGTCCTTTTTGTTCTTCCTCAGAACCCGGTGCAGTGGTAGAGACTCACAGTGCAGTACCATATGCAGTGATAGGGGGCGTTCTGGCACTGCTGGTTTTCACCGTCATCTGTGTCCTCATCGTCACCATCTGGTGCTCCGTTCGACAGAAAGGTAACACGCTCACACACACACACACACACACACACACACACACACACACACACACACACACACACACACACACACACACACACACACACACACAAACCAAGTAACAGAAGAGTTTCTTTCAAAAACAGGGCACACGTTTTTGCAGCTTAAAGCGTTTTTCATTTCCTTTCAAACCTTTATTTCTCCAGGTGTATCCCATTGAGATCATTGATCTCTTTTTCAAGGGAGACCTGCTCAAGTAGGTTCCACGTCAAACATAAAAACATAAACAGAACAACAAACCTTTTTGGACCTTTTCACTGACACATTACCGAAACAAGCTGTGAAAAACTCTTTACAGACCTTGTACCACCAGATTCCTTGAGAACAATCTTTTAAACTGAGGTGTAAAATAGTCGGTGCAAGGCAGACAGGATGGGATGCTCCTCTCCAGGCGGGCACTGTCCATGATGGACGGCCTTGGCCAGGATTGTAGATAAAATGGGTGGGGTGGGAAATGTAGGTGTGGTCCCCATGTTTTATGACTATATGTTAGTGTATCAAGGCTCATCTATTAAAAGCAGCCTTCCTGAGTTCCGTATCTTTTTAAGTGCCCTCTTGTTGGCAGCCTTCGTACACCCCGGCTGCCAAGAAATGATCCGAGAACAGCGTAGCAGGCAGCCACTGGCTATTACTTACCCTGTGGCTAGACAGGCTGCCAGTCAACATTCAGTATGGCTTGACCGCCAATCAGCACACAGACAGGACCATTACAACCAAACCGTGTTGAGGCAGAGCCATTAGGGCTTTGTCTACAGCCCGTTGTGACTGTCAGCATCCAGTCACCCTCTGCAGAGAGAGAATTAGAGTGTCACTCACCCCTGCAGTGAGGTGACACTGAAGCAGGAAGATGACTCAAGCAGCTTTGCTCTCTGTGTAACCTGTACTGCTCTGATTCATTAATCATACGGACCTGAGGGAAGTTAAAATGTGTTTGATGGCTTTCGTGAGTGACTCAAATGTGCCATTGTTCTCTTGCACCTAACCTTCCCTCCACCCCTTTTCTGACAATCTCTTCTTCCTCCCTGTCTTCTATTCTCTACCATCTTCTCCTCCTCTTCCACCTATTCTCTTCACACATCCCATCCCCTACCTCTCATTTCCGCGTAGGCTCGTACCGTACACGAGAGCCTATTCTTGCTTGGTATTGACCTAACAATCAGTTAACTAACGAATTAATCAGTCACAGGTATGGTACTCAATAATATATGCGCTAGTTGGTTTGATAATAATGCTGCATGGCGCTGCAGTGATCATGACGCTTTGCCGCCTAACCTCCCCCCTAAAATCTCCCTCTTGGTCTCTCTCTCTCTGTCTCTCTTCATCCAGGTTCCTATCTTACCCATGAGGCCAGTGGGTTGGATGAACATGGTGAGGTGCAGGAAGCTTTCCTCAATGGGAACGACGCCAGCCAGGGCAAGAAGGAGTACCTACTGTAGCCCCTATCCCCTTCTCTTCTGACCTCAATCCCCCTTATCCCTTCCCTACCCTGTGTCCCATCTTATATACAGTATACACACACACACACACACACACACACACACACACACACACACACACACACACACACACACACACACACACACACACACACACTATACAATACAAGCGCCATTACAGGCAGCCTTTTGAAAACGACTGTATACAGATACTGCACACAGCCAATCCATCCCGCTTCATTCTACTCCACAGCCTCCATGCACACACACCCAGAGGCAGACTGAGAAAAAGAGAGCCTATACACCCAGCAGCCAGTAACGACTGTGCCATATACTGTAAGTCGGAGATACTAGGGAGAATGGAGAGAGCGGGGCCGGGGTGAATGTAGACAATAACGAAATGATGCCGTTATTATTTTTGATCAAGGTGGAAGTGGGGAGCACAAAGAAAACAGGCACTCTGCCCGTTCAGCCGCCAAAAGTGGAAGGGGAATTAGAGGCAGATGAGTGCTATAATTCCATGCCTGAAGAAAACCATTTATTTCACAAAGCTCAATCTTTAACTGATGGAGACACGGGGAGGGGAGGGGGAAATGAGGAGGGGTTGACCAGAAGCTATCGAGTGATACACGGTAGAAAATTGAATTTTTTTAAATTGTCAGAACATCTTTCCTACAGAGTGCAACTCGTATATAATTCCCTACCAACACTGGAGTGTTTAAACCCAGAGTCCCAGGAAGTATTCAAAGTTTTGACGAAACGTACTCCCTACCCAATAATTGGTAAAAAAAAAAAAAAAAGGAATCCTATTTTAAAGGAGGTTCTCTTTTTTAATTGAATTAATTCTCTTCCTTCCTCTACATTCACCTGTTACAGTCATCTCCCCCGCTCCATTATATCTCGCTTTTTTCTCCGTCTGCCCCCCCCAATCGCTCCTCCTTTGTTGGCTCCTAATAATGTAAGGATTAGTGTTGGGCTTCGTTCCCAACAAAGACGAAAGGAATATGACTTGCTAAGGCATTAAAGAAAGGCTTAATTATTTTAGAATGTCATTAAGAGGATAGAAAGGTTTAAAAGTCTTGATAAGAAGGGCAAGGGGGAGTGAAGGAATGAGAAATAAAAAACGGATGGATATTTTTTCTGAATGCTACCACACATATGCAGATACATGCACTCATTCATACGTACAGTACACATGTTGACAGAACCAGTATACATATCTCTGAAGTACGTATTTGTATAAAAAATAGAACATCTACATAAATTAAATGAAACTTTTAAGAAAAAAAAATCTGTTTACTATTGAAACACATTATGAAGCATCTATACTAACACAGAATATTAGCCTATAGAGGTGCAAAGCCGAACAAACCACTGTCCAGTGATCTTTAAAGAAAATAAAGAAAAGAATAAAAAAAAATATCATTGTCTTTATGAGAAACCAGAGGTCTTATCGATTTTTTAATTATTATTATTATTTGAACAATTATGATTGTTGTTAATGTTATTATTGCCGTTGTTATTATTATAATTGTAAATGTTAAAGAAATGTACACTTCCCATGGTTTGTTTTTGGTTCTACTGTAGAGAAATTGCTGTCTTTTTTCACTCTTACCTTTCCTCTCTTTCCCTTTCTCTCTCTTCGTCTCCTGTGCCTAGTCGTCTCTTCTCCTGTCTTTCACTACTGTTTACTTTAGAGTCCATGTGTCATTGTTGATATATAGCTAACTATTTCTTTATAGGGGAAAGATACAAAGCACGATAAAATAAAAAAGAATTCAAAAATAACCTTTGGGATTAGACTGTTTTTTGTGTGTGCTTACTGTGTAATTAGCAGGTGCTGTTTTTGAAATCCTAAGAAGGGAGAACAGGAGATTGAGCATATGATGAGATCAATGGGGAATAGTGGAGTTATAGGTGGGAAGATGAAGATGAAGGCGATGGAGCCGGCTATAACTGGCAGCTCATTCGGAATAAACAAAATAGGGGATTCTGTGGCGCCGCTAATGAATCATAAGAACAGATAGCGGGGAATAAAGGGTGACAGGGGGTTTGAGTCAGATACATACCAAAAAATATGACTCTGCCATTATCTTCCACACAATCAATACCCGATTCTGTCGAGAAGCACTCAACATGTCCATGTGTGCGCGGGGCTAGATTTGAAAGCTGCCGGAGGTCGCAGGGTGATAGATCGATGTGTTTCTCTTCCATCGATGGCAAGGCTGCACGGGTGCCTGTCATAAAGACAGATTGTCAAACGGCAATCAAAGTAATGGACTTGCCAGGCGCTACAAGCATGAGTTGACACTCCGGCCAACAAACAATTCACACACAAGTCGACACCAAACATATCTTCAATTTATGATGACGCAGGCGTAGCAAAGGTGCTATCACACCAAACATGGTCGATGAGTAATAAAACTGAGAACATTGTCCTCGGTATAAGTGTCCTTCAAGGTTTCATCTCTTATTTTTATTGTGGGATTCAAGAACACTCATGTTTGATACTGTTATTTCTACTTTTTCCTCACAAGAAAATCAATCAAGCTTTGGTATTTTGTGCTTTTAGATTTTCAGTCACTTTTAGTTTCACTGTATTATCGTTGGGTGGTGGGGGCTAATGCTGGTAATATTTACTCTGGGTTATCCTGGGAGTAGGGCCATTATCCGACCATGACGTAAATCAGGCACTAGACCTAATGGTAATCAGCCCACCACTGTGATCATGAAGGTGTTATCATCTAATCAATAGGCATAAGAAAAACATTGATCAGGATAAGCTGGATAACAGATGGTTGTTTTACTCCCCCAGTTTACAATATGCTGTGAACGTAGCATCATTTGGCCGGTAATAACAGCGATATGAATAACTCATGCGACCGCTGCCTGATGCTATAGTTTAACCGATTAGCGCCCTGAAGCGGGTTCATGTCGGATCATTTGCTGTTTATGACACATTTTTTGCAGACATATTTCCCTTCAAGATGTCACAGTCCATCCAAACAAAAACTCTTCATATTTCTGTTGGCTATGGTGGATTAGACACACTTTTATCCATCTGTAAAAACCAATATGGGTGACTGTAGGATGGTGAATGCAGCTTATGTTCACTGGTCTTGTCATTGTGACCCGAGCGAGGCAAGGAGTTGTGTACAGAGCGGCAGCATAGCATGAGGCATTGATTGAGGTGCCTGAGTGTGCCGAGGCTGAGCATAATCAGGAAGCAGAGAGCTTTCAGGCAGACAGAACAATTCAATGGGCTGCCAGAGAAGCTAAGTAAAATCCCCCCCCCCCCACATCTGAACCTCCGCACCCTTTTGCCAGATTTCTTCATCAATAATGTGTTCTAGTACACAGAGTACATGAGGAGGAGTAGGAAAGCAGAGAAAGACATAATGAGTTAGACATAAATGGACAAAAAGATACAAGAAATGTGGAAAGAGCAGGAAAATAATGGTGAAAATGGCAAAACAACCTAACCCTGAGAGGAAAAAGAAAAGAGAGAACGTGGTGAATGTAATGTCTTGGTTCATTGCCGAAAGATATATATTACTCCCTTTTTTTTAACAGCGACGCGGTTCAAGATGAACAATTCAATTAGATTGAGCAAGGACCTTTTTATTACATGAGTGCATCGCATTGTATTTACAAGTTTAATCAGAACAGGCATGGAGATTGTGTCATAACCAGGTTAATGATGTTTTCCCTATAGGCTGCGTCCTCTCTGGACCTCTTGTTATTAGGGATGTTTAATTAAACGCTGTCACTCATATATCTACATTACTGGTGGTGGGCTTATCAGAGACTTAGAACGAGCTTAGAATAAGACCCATAGGAGGCGCAGTAGAAGAAAACAGACATCTGTGATCAGGAGTCATCATCTGGAGACTTAATTTTCTCACTGACATTTGGTGCGGGACCTGATAATTAACTGGTCTTTTCATTTGCGAGTTATTCACAGCGTCTGTGCATAAGGTTGCTGATTAGTTAACACAACAGGACAACAACAAACAGGATCATGCTATATTTATTCTCTTTAAACCCCCAAGCTGCTTGTTGCCAAACAAGCTTTGTCTCAAGCAAACAGAACATGGAAGAAACAGTGTTTTAATGAACTGCTTAAAGAAACGACAAATGTTTACATAAAAAACAGCACAAGTCTTACATTTCCTCAATAATTCAGACCTCTGGGCACACTTTTGCTTTAATGGAGTGTTTGGCTGAAGACCATGGAGCTGCCTGCACTGCCTCACACAGGGCCATGCGGACAGATTTTCCTCTGGACAGGGTTACTGGAGGTGGAAGGTGGGCAACAGAAAGAGGGAAGGATGCCCGTTCTCTCTGTTTCTTTGGAGGAGTGAAGAGGATCTGAGGCACAAGGCTGTACAGCTGGAAGAGAAACATGGCAACTGCATGAACCCAGACAGGAAGATTGGTACTGGGGGTGAAAAGCAGAAGGGCATGAATGATGTGGAGTGGCAGGCACAGCAGAACTAAAAGGGAGAGGGATAGAGCAAGGGAGCGGACCCGGCCGGAGTCATGTTTAGGCGGATATGCATGACTAAAAGGAGTCTTTCTAGGTTTAATGCATAACAGGTCAAGGTAAATGACCAGCAGGCAAAGCAAGGGGAGCATGAACACTGTCATCCCATGGACATAGACCAGGTAATGGGGACTGAGAATGGTGTCAGGCGCACACACCCCCCAGTGGCTGCTGTGGATCTCAGCGTAGGTGAAGTTGTGCATGTCTTCCACATAAAACTTTGACAGGAAGCCTCCGTATGGAAGGTACTTTCCAATGACCTTGCGATCTTGGTGGTACTTAGGGGGCGGGGAAGGGGTTAAATGGGGTAAAGAGGTCGTCCAATTGCCATCCAGCCCGAGGCCAGCCGTGCCCGGACCCCTCCCGATACGCCTCCAATTGTCGATGATGTCCGAGCCGATGAACTGGGCGAAGGAGGACAGAACCGAGGCCACCCAGCACAGCAGGACCACACACAGAGCTCGCTGACGGGTCATCACTGAAGAGTACCTGGAAATCATAAACATGTGGGTTTGGACATATTTGAATGCTGAATGGTTATTCAACCTGATTCGTTTTGCTCAATTTCTGAATCCTAATGGGATCATGATAATGTTTTTTAGTCCAGCTGTGCCAAGAATGTCTGGTATTGATGGCTTCAGACTATACCTACATGAAAAAAGGTATTTCTTAAGGCATTTAATATTCTTTCTCTAGATAAGTGAGTTGAACGGTAAATGCTACAAAACTGCTCTATCCCAAATCTCCTTTTAACCAAATCGCAGACATTGATGCTATTCTCTGTGATCTTCTTTTGATAACTAATGTAATGTTTTTTTTTAACTACCATTTACTGAGCCTGCCCTGAATCTGTATGCAGCCCCCCTGGGCAGGCATGCCTTACACTTTGAAAATCTCTGTCCTAATCTGAACAGAAAAGACTAAATATGAACAGGAGTAGTTTTTACAGTACCGCGCTGCCTTCATATTAATCGCTCAATGACACCAAAAATACAAAAAGCCACCGGAATGAGGTGTACAAAATCTAATCTTATTCATACCAACTGGGTGAGTGGATGGTTCAAAACAGTCCAAGACCATGAAAGAAGAAAAAAAACTGGCTCTTTTCCACTGAAAGGCTGGAGTTGCAGGTCACTGCCAATCAAGAATCTAAGAGCCTCTGAGCCTTTTGATATTTACTCGCCCCTGTGACTCCCAGATGGCAGTAAAAGCAGTGCATGATAATAAAAAAAGCAGCCTTATGAGCACTGAACAAACAGAATACTTGAATTCAATACAATAGCACATATTGCAATGTTTGCTACTCCTTATTTGCAACGGCCATAGTGATTTCCCTCATTGACAGCTGAAAGCAGGCTTGAGAAGTGTTGACCCTTGCCTCCCACGTATACACTCTCACCCACACATATGCAATGAACTATTACAGGCATTATTGTGATTTACAGAATGTGATGTTTATATTTCCGAGAAAGAATAGGTGTCTTATTGGAATTTATTTGTACATTGTTAGCATTTGAATACTACTCTTTACATCACACTGATTTTTGTACTTTGATTCCTTTACCATTAATGTAATCCTCTTCTAGTCTCACCTTTCTGCAAAGTGATGCTGCAGGTGTGCGTCCAGTGTGAGCATCACCAACAGGAACATGGTGAACTGCCTCACCAGCAGGGGGCAGCACACCAGGGTTATGCATGTGTACAGACACTGTGGCGTTCTCAGGTTGAGCAACACACTCACAGGGACCCCCACTGCACCACCAAGAGCCCCTACCCAGCCCAGGCAGAGACAAAGACAGCATGAGACGCTCCCAGGTTTGGGCCTGTTTCCCTGGGTTCCCTCCTGGACGTCAGCCACTGTTCCCCCTCCACTGACCGTCATGCACAACCTCACACTCACCACTATCAGGGATACAGACAGGATGCAGTGACACAAGGAGTACAGCCACATGAGGTCCATGTCTGCAGGAGATACAAACAGAGATGATAAAGCCAAAGGGTACAGCTTAAAAAGTCCTTATTTATAATGATGTCAAAGGGCAAAAATTAAGACAAATCTAATGGATGCTTGTGCTTCATTCCACCCACTCTAGTTGCCAGTCCTGCCCTCACATTGCTCGTGCTCATGCAGCGTTAACTTGAATTGTGAAAGGAATGGTCTAACTTAGAGATAGACAAAGAGAAGAGGGAATACAAATGAGAAAAGGGTGACAAGTGGTGGTGGAAATGTTGAGGTTAAGCA